TATATATATATATATATATAATGATTTTTAAGTTGAAAATAAATATAAATTTAATATAATTTTAACAAAAATAATCTAAATTATGAAAAAATAGTGACATCTTTTTCGGGCTTTGAGGAGTACCTTTGTGGTACGTTCCGAACCGTTTTTTCGTTAATGTTGAATTATCTACAAAAAAAAATAATTTGAATTGTTAAATTATTTTTTAAATAACTTAAACTTTAAGATTTAAATGAATCAAATAATCAATCGATAGATATACCTAGTTCTACCATCAAAAAGAACGACGAGACTCCACGAGTGATAGATCGAAGTCCTTGATTCTATGTATCTATATATCAATTTGATATATTTATCGAACTCAATCCTAAAATTAATCCCACGACATAGTATACTGATACACTGTATCCTATTTGTACATCAATGTAGTGATGGTCAGTCTGATGGTCATGAACCACATATGTCCAAGACGACTCCTAAGGCAAGGATGATTGTGGCATATATTGGTGCGGAACATAGAGAATGTCAGAACTTCTATTTTCATCATTGAAATGCCACTTTGTATCATAAGATCGATCACCATACTATTGCTTGGAGAAGTATAACCAACTATCACCGCATTATTGTTGGCCGTAGATTCTCTATAATACGACGACTATGAATACGATGAGCTTCGCTTTGTGTTTACGTCGTGTAAGCTCTGTCGCATCTACTCAAAATCATTCATTGTCTTCCCCTTCCCCTTTTGTGTATAAACTTAACTACTGCCTTCCCCTTTGCCTTTGCCTTTGCCTTTGCCTTTGCATGCTAGGCAAACGATTGTGATGTTTGGGTCTCTCTAACTCCTTTAGCAGTCAAAAGGTGTCTTATAGCCCGACTCGATTCTTTCTAACGATACAACTAATGCTACTGCCTTCTCCTCTGCCTTTGCCTTTGCCTTTGCACGCTGGGCGAACGATTGTGACAATTGGGTCTCTCTAACTCCTTTAGCAGTCTAACTCGATTAAGAGACTGAAATGGGTTGAAACAGGGGGGAGTAAAGCATTTAGAAACCCTTTCCTATCATTCAAACAGTTACATTGACTATTTAAAACAGGACAATCTCAGCCCTTGATCGGTAATGGTCAAAATCCGACCGTTACTGACCTGTATGGGAGGAAAGGATTGAAAAACCCTTTCCTATGGTTCAAATAGTTAAATTGACAATTTGAAACAAAACAATCTCAGCCCTTGATCGGTAACGATCAAAATCCAACTGTTATCAACCGATACAGGTTGGTAACGATCGAATTTCAACCATTATCGATCGATACAAATCCTGTATCACTCGATACGGGGTCATGTAATGTGCACTGCTCGATGTATGGTAGTCCGCATACCGGTCCTATGTCAGACCAGTATGTACCACCCATACCAGGCGGTACACCTCGATAAGACGAATCTTGTGTTGTGTAGGCACTACTACTATATTCTTATGTAAATAAAATATATATTGTTCTATTATGATTTTAAATTTATGATCATTACACAAAATTCCCCTATCATAAGTTGCATGTTTTCCAAGCATATTTGGGCAGCAATGTATTATTATACTGAACTTTTCCTTTATTTGTGAGATTTTGGAAATAAAAATCCAAAACTAGCTCATACTAGACCTGAGGAGTACACAGGTATTGCAATTCCAATGTCAGCGATGCAGTTAAATATTATACACAATTTGTTCGATTGGTAGATAACCACTAACACAAATCATCATATAGAACTGGTTGATCAAAACCATAGTATTACCTTCTGCATTGACCGTCCATATAACACCTTCATGGCATTGTAGAAGTCATCATAACTCTCAAACTGAACCCAGACTTTGCAGTTAAGTCCAGAAATAATCTCTTCTTTAGAGTCTTCTGATTTCACACCTAAATCATCGTCGCTGGCAACATTAAGATTCCTAGTTGATGCAGGTTAAGAATGTCAAAAACACAAAGGATGATAGTCATTGATTAAGTTGATGAAGATATAAAAGGAAGGGGATCAACCAAAAAGTTTGGCCACATGAAACAAATACCAAATAAGACACATTAAGAAGCTTAACAACTGAAGTTTATACTTTATACACATAAAATATCCAATAAATGCTCCAGCATATTGTTGTAAGTTCTCCCAAATTCATGCTGTGTGGTCTCTTATATCAAACAAAGTAACTGAAAAGAGAAAAATGACCCACTTGGGAACAAACTAAACTCCTCTTTCAGTAAGTGAAAAGAAATATCCTTATCAACTGACAAGGATGGTAAGTAAAATCAGCTACTACTCTTTATGACAATAAAACATATCAATGCAGCCAAAATTTATGAGTAATTGGTCTACCCATGAAAGACTAAGTCGAAGAGTAAAATCAAGTTAAGTCTGTCTCCAATTAGTTATATATTTTTAGTCAAATCAGCTGAGTCGAATTATCTTCCTCAGATATTGAACTTGTCGCCGGATCAGACACGGCAAACAAGTTGCCACTCTACAAGACAACATTTATCAGAGTGAATGAAGAAAGCAACAATTGAACAGCCAAACTATGCAATAAATCTAGAAAGATTACAAAATTCACCTTATCTTCCCCAGTGTGGAAAAAATGGTATGAGTAACCAACATCGAGGCCTTGGACGACACTCGTGGCTCCGCAAACCAGCGAGAAGGAACACCCCGAACAATGACTGTGTCTGGTCGCCTGGCAAATGCCCTTCCTGCAAACACAACGCGCAGATCAAGATCTCCAGTTTGCCCAACCAAGCAACGCGACATGATAACAAACAACTAAAACTTCCTTGTTCTAAGATTAGAGATAGGATATAATTACGGGAATCCAACAATTGTGAGGTATAATAATCCTCCCATGATTTCTTCATCAGCTCAAAATCATCCGCCGGCGGGATCTCCACGGTCATCTTGAACTTGACGCCCTCGAGGTTCAAATCGATCCCGGCAAGCCGGTCGACGAAGGTGCTCCGCCAGTCCAAGAACCTCTTCCTCGACGCCCCCTCGTCCTCCTCGTCCCCTTCTCGGTTCTCGCTCTTGAGGAACCCTAGGTCGCGGACGAAGAGAGTCCCGGAGGCCACGGGCTCGTCGCGCTTGCGCTTGTGGAGGTCGGGGCGGCGTCGGATGACGAGGTCGTCATCGGGGACGGAGAGGGAGAGGGGATGGGAGCGAAGGAAGTCGAGGAGGGCGAGCTTGAGTTTCCACTCGTCGATGGGCTTAACGGCAGGATCAGAGCGGAAGAACGTGAGGAGGAGCTTCACACGCGGGGAGAGGGACAGGCCGCCGCCGCCAATTTCTAGGGTTTCGGTCGGCGAGAGATACTGCAAGCGGCGGCGCCGGGCGGACGGAGAGGACGCCATGTTCTTTTCTACGTAGTGGTTTAGGTAATAGTTTATAACGCCTTAAACGAACCCAAAATGGCGAACGTTATATATAAACGTTACCATGGATGTGCGTTATATACCGGGTCAGATGTCCGCAGAGGAAACTAAGATATTATTTAGATAGATTAAATTAGCACAATTTACCAAACAAACCAATAATGAGGTTTTATCTCATATTTGGTTTTTATCTGAGGGGTATCTTTTTTTTTAATGCTAGAATAAAATATATTTTATAAAATAATAATAATAATAATCGATATATGATAATCGACGATCATATATTGACTTGAATAGATATTAATAATGTTCCCATTCTGAGAAATGTGTTGATGAAAATTAGAGAGAATATTGACTTGAATAGATATTATCCCTATTATGACATTGTAGATGGATACTTCACCTATACCCTGCAAACACAGGTATTGTGTCTTCACATGCATGCACCTTATGTTACAGTTAGAATGAATTGGGAGACCAAATTAACAATATTAACAAGGAGGTAAATTTACATGCATATATATCCTCTTAAATCGGTTGTTTTAATATGTAAGCCTACCAAAACTGGGACTCTAGTTAATGTTAATGACCTTTAAAAATCATTATGATAATTTAGACATTATATAATAACGTATATTTACATTCAAATTAGTTAATGTCAGAAGTAGTTAACCTAAATTTTCTAGAATGAATGTTGATCTTATTATTATTATTATTTTGTAAGAAATATATGTCACTTCAAAACTGCAAGATATTGTACATTAATTTTAAATTTGAAGTTCCAACTATTTAGGATTGACTATATGAGTCCTTTGTCGTCATTGAGATATATAAAAAGTTATATATTTAGTTAAGTTTAAAATAATTAAATCTTTATTTATAATTTTTATTAAGGTATTTTAATATTTTACTTTGCATCTTCTCTTACCACTAACCTTAATCATTTCGTTTCTTCTAAGTATTGCACCAATTACCAACGAATCATTCCATCCCAGATGCAACCGCAGGTACACAAATCTTTATTAATTCCAAACAGTTACCAATCATTCTACAGAGCTAAAACTAAATAGTGTCATTGAAAGAAAGATGAATGCAATCGCTTCAAACAGTCCAAATTCCAGCCAAGATTGGTAAAGATAGGATTCCATACCCCTAATCTGAAATCATGGTAGATCATTCAAGAAGATGAGGCATTCGATTAGACGAGATGTGGCGACTGCGGAGGAGGGGAAGGCGACCTACACTTACCTTACGCTCCGCGACGGCCCGATGCGGTGATCAGAGGGCGAGCGGCGCTCGGATCGGCTGCGGCGGTAAGAGGAGGCTTGACCGAACTTCGATGCTGGGGCCTCGGCCTCCCCCTCGTGCTCCGGAAGGTGATCCATGCTGAGGCTGCGGGTGCCGCGGGAGAGGCAGCGGTAGGAGCTCCGATCCCGGCGCCGCTTGATCGCGTGGATCACGAAGGGTATGAGGCCCTCCATTCGTTGCTCTGTCTTTCTCTGACGAACTTTTGGGGAAGCAGACCGACGGTCGGCACGCGAGGGAGTGAGCGAAAGGCGGTGTGTTGATGTTTATATAGTGGGGAATTGATTAGATTGTAGCAATGGTATTTCTTTATGTCACCGTCAAATGGAGGAATAAAGCGGTACGTTATTTGGAAGCGTGCCTCCAGAGAACGATCATCTAAATATTATTTATTACCCTTCCATAATTTTGATGCACTCTTAATCGTATAAAAGATAAGGAGATACATGCCCTTAGTGTATGAATAATTAAACCATACGTTGGTTTAAAAATTATTCAATTTTATTATCCACAAGAGACTGTGTGATAAGAATTATTTCACCATTGTCTGACAAAGTAAAAAAAAAGAAAAAAAGGAGACATTGTCTTCCACCAACATTATCTAAACACAATGTGAAACATTTTGGAGCTACAAGTCGACTCTTTTCTTCCACTATTTTCTCCTGTTCGGTACACTACAGCATTCTACCTCTAAAATTCAGCAAGTTCGATATCATGCCTAGCTACTGGATAACCAGCAAAGCCATGAGATAGAACAATATGTTGATGGAAGATTACAAGCTCAATTACTCCAGATTATGTTTCATGAAGATGGCCGAGAAGCAAAACAAACGAGGAAAGTGCAGACAGAGCATGAGATTTATTAAACAAAATTAATTAGAAAATTGTTTTTGAAGCATGTGGTCAGAAGACAATCATGAAAAGGTAGAGACAATAGGATTATGGAAGCGCCCCTCCCTATGGAACAGAGTGCTCGACTGTCTTCGGTCACTACCCAACACTGGAATTGTTTTCACGCAGGTATTATCACAAACCTCGTATTCCCATTGGTAATTTCTCGGAAGCAGAGATGAAATATAAGCATCCAGCTTACACAAACGTCAGGACAACATGATCCTGAGCCTTCAAGGGAATTCACCAAGTTGAGAGGAGCAATTATCATCATCACATGGAAGAAGCACCTGTACAGTCAGGAAGACAAAAATCCTTGAGATATCTTCAATTTAATTCAGTCATCAAGCATTGGTTCTCAAGGGAGGGACATCTGGACCTGAACCCTGACCATTATGCATAATTTGAAGCTCATTTGCTAGTTGGGCACGACGTTCCTTCAGTAAGTTTAGGCGGTTTGTCAACTTAGCAAGTGCAGATGCTGTTGAAGAGACAGTTTCCTGAGTAGAATCAGAATATTTTAATCAAACTCAATCTTTCCAAGCCAGTTAGCGAGTCCCTTGAAATCTACTGTGAACTAACTTGTTGCATAATATGATTATTACAAAAGTTTTTTTTACCTCAGGTCTGGAAGAGAGTCTCTTTGCAACTCCACTGGGCTCAGAAGATGAAACACTAGCAGAAGTCTGAGATCTCAAACTATCCAATGCTGTTTTAGTTGGCCACTGATTGAGCAAGGACTGTTTCCCAGGTAAAGAGGAATCTTGGGCTTGATTCACATCTTCACAGCCCAAAGTGAAGTTCTTCGAAGCAGTAATTTGGCCAACTCTCGCAGACTCTTCAGTAGATGGATCGTTACCAAGTCCCTTAGATAGTTTACGGCTTTGATTTGCTATGTCTATTCTTTGCTTCTCAGACGGCTGCCCATCTGATGGTGACACTGATTCTCGGGGTTGGGTTTCTACATTCTCACAGTCAGCATTACGCTGCATGGATAAATTGCATTGTCATCTGAATGAGTACCGGTGATACAACCATGTGCATAAGTAGATAAGCAAGAAATCCTCATAAGATACTAGCATACCTCACTGTATGAGATGCAGCTAACTGGAGTCTCTGAATTACTTTGCCTCGTTTGGAACTGCTTGGAGAACTTTGAAAGTGAGTCCTCAGTGGATGAAGAACTTCTAGTGCCCAAGCCAATAGCATTCTGGCAAATGGGATCACTTTTTTTATCGAGAGAAGGCTCTGTGACTTCTGAAAAAGGTAGCTCTTGCTCTTTTACTGGCTTGGCCTCATGGGCTACTCCAGACAAAGCGTCCTCCTTATATAGAAGTTATACCCTTTAATTAGGATATATTATCAAACAAGATTTGAAAGAATGGCAAGATATATCAAATCAATGAATTAAAGAAGATATATCATTCGAGGTGGAATGTAGTTACAGCTGACAATAACCAAACAAGATCTTCAAGTATACTTGTACAGGTAGTATGTCCTGTGCTTTATGAATAACAATTTGATCAGCTATAGGAAATTTTAATTTAGTACAATTACTAATCCACTAAAGAAACCAACTTGGATCATCAGCTCCATAAGGATTGTATGCCAGTTAATTAGAAAAGAATATGTAAAAATTGCAAGGAAGGCTATTGATATGATAAACTTACTGCTTGTTTCAAAAACTTGTTGTGTTGATCAACAAGATTGATACTCCTAACATCTTCCAACTGAGTTTTCCTGTATCAAACAAATACTCATCAAGGTATAATAAATAATTCCCCTGAAATAATATTCCAATATCCATTACTTGTGTAGTCGCGATCTATACATCTGATTAGGTGTAAAACTAGCAAACTAGTTACGTGTAGTATCATAGTCCTTGATATGCTTCAATTATTACCATGTTAAGTCGATCAACAGCAAATAACTTTCTAAGAGAAGAGGATCAGATCCTCCTTGCTTGTCAATATCAGACAAGCAAGAGAAGAGGAAGAAGAGAACTAGAAGAAGTGGAGGATAACAAGTATGACGGAAATGAGTCAGATACCAGACCTGGTCCAAATCTGACCATTGAGGAAAGAAAAGCACAGGAGGAAAGAAAAGAAAAGGGAGGAACTAAGTCCAGCTGTAATGTTGCTAGATCTGTTTAGCCAGTCGATCAGTTCCTTTGCCAGAGACCAACAACCAAATTGGTTGGGATCCAATCAGATCCAATCAAGTGGCAAGCAACGGCCACATCTGATGCCAAAGAAAATAAATTATATAAATATATTTTTCCTCTAGATTCCTAAATTTGTTTATATCTTATAATGTTTTCTTTTTTGAAATTATTATTTCAGCTGCTTCGACCATCTGGTGGTCAGAATAGGCCAATCTTTATCTTAAATTTTATGGCCAATGAAAAACTTTATCCTGATTCTAGAAACTTGATTTATTGTTATCATGTAGCTGTGTTTGATGTTATTTATGTAACAAATAAGTTTCAATAAAAAAGGTACTTCATTTTAAACCATAGTATACATATGCAGTCCATCTCACCAAAAAAAGCCATTAAAATAGGGAAATGATAATAATGCATTAAGAACTGACAAGGTAAATATATCATATCGAACTGCACAAAGAAAGAGTTATCTTACTCTCCAGAATGATCACTAATATGAAGTTGTCTGCTGCATGACTCACATAAGGAAACACAGCTTCGTTTTAGCTGATTGTTAAGCTGTCCATGAAGATCATCAACTTTCAGCTTCAAAATAACTATATCTGCTTCAGCAAGAGCAACTTCCTCTAGATCTGCCCTTGTCTTTTAACACAACTATCAAGTATAAATCTAGTGCAAAATCAGCTATCTACTTAAACACAATTCATTTTAAACTAACCTTGCTATCCATAGCAGAAACAAGAGATGCATTCCCAGGTTGCGTGTTCATTAGTCCATTCTCCAAAGATGCTCTAAAATCTTGCTCATTTTGTAATTGCTCAAGCAATCTTTCTACCTGTTTCAACAGAGATATATTTCAATTGTGGCAAAATTTCCAAGCGTTCCTACTGGTGAAAACGATATAACATACAAAAATGATTGAACTCCACAGTGAGTGAACCAAAATAACATTTCTTACAAGCGATACAAAAACTTCATTTGAAAGAGGTATACACGAATACAGTTTGTAGGATGGTTGGAGGACCTAAAGTATTATAAGCTTTGTTATCTGCTTAGGTCCAAAATCTCCAGATACAATTACCATGTTAAATGAAACAACCATTCTTGTATTTATTTATGTAAAGTCATATTAAGTTGCTTGTCAATAAACTAACAAATGAAACTGGACCTTTGCAACTACTATATAACAAGATGTTCAAGGAAGAATCAAGATAATAAAGCTCAAGTTGAAGCTTGTCAAAATGTTTTCCAAATACAAGAAATGAATATTGGCAAGTACATGGAATTGGAAAATAAATTAAGTTGAGATAAAATTAAGCTAGATGGAACACAAAAAAAAGGACATTAACAATGAAGCTCAGTTCAAAAAACTATTCCAGCAGAATTTCAAAGTCATCCTAGTCAGAATCATAAGTATTCATGACCCGCATTGCTGCCAATTGTCCAAGGAATCCAATTTCGGGTACCGGACCCGTTTGGTCCATGGCCAGACCAATACAGGTTCAGTCCATGGCTGGACCGATATGGGTCCTGTTTATTCTGGAATGCACCATGGTACCGATACAATCTGCTGTGACAGGGAGAGGGGGGGAGGAAGAAGAAGAGGGAAGAAGAAAGAAAAAGGAAGAAAAGAAGGAAGAGGTGATGGACGAAGAGGTGGAGGAAAAGGAGGAGAAGATATACCAGAGATGAGGGCGGTAGGCGGCGAGTGGCAAGCGGCAGCCACATGAGCAGTGATGAGCAGCAGAGAGGAGACACTCAGAAAGAGTTGTGACTCATGAGCTCCTCACAAGCCCTAGCACATTGGGCGACACAACATCTAAAAGAAAAGAGTCAACAGTTGACAAACCGGACCAGACTACCCAGTTTGAGTTGTCTACATCACGGTTGGCGGTCGGACTGGTCAATACCGGTTGAATCATACTGAACTGGGCAAAATTAAAAACTTGTTGTAATCTCAACCAAATAACAGGATAACAGGAGATACAAACTGGAAAAATTAAGAAGAAAAAAAGATAGGTTCAAAGTTTTACCTAAACCATGTAAAAGGACTGGTTTGGCATTAGAACATGTCCAAACACAGCCTTAATCATTTCATAGCATGTCAGAACAGGAAATGCATGTCAAGATAAAGCTGGCAACAACTTTAGAGTTGAATGTAACACTCAGGTAATACAAATGAAAAACTAATAAAGTCACTAAGAGATCATCTGATAGCCAGTTAATCCAGCAGCATCTTTATTTATAGATGCATAGACAGCAATCTGCGCACTTATATATGTAAAAGGAACCACAATGGATATGAGTCACAGAAAAATTCGAAAAAAATCATAGACCCTTTAGAGAAGTTTTAGAACAAAATTTGCAATTACATGACTTCTTGAGGAAATAGTCTGATAATACTTGAGCAGACAGACAGCTTAATGATCTAAAGGGGGATCCAACACCAGTTCACTCGAAAGTTATAGGAACAGGTTTCTACTATTCATTTTGGCTTGAAACAGATATTTGACAGGGAACCAAACAGGTACAGTGATCAGGTAATGTACAGAAATTAGACACATTGGAAATCTGCGCCTGCATCTCATGCCACCATGGCAAGGCCAGAGAAAATGAGGGTGGCAGCGGGAATTGAGTCGTTGAGTCTTATACTTTTTTTTGTAGGCTTTTTGTTATCGCTTAGTTCTTTTTTCCAATCTCAGTGAATCAGTGGCACCAACTTGTTGGCATGGTGGATTGTCATGTACTGCTGATGGCATGACCATGCTAACTATTAACTAAACAGGCAATGCCGTTGAAATTTTAAACTTAGATTCATGTTACTCTATTCATTCCTAATATTCTCAGTATGACCACCAATCAACCTAAAATTTATTTTGTATATTCCATAATTCTCATGAAATTCTATCTGCTGAAAATGTAACTTTTTAACCATGATTTACAAGTTAATTAATTGAAATCTAAAATTCCTAACTCTAACAAAGGACCAACTGGACTAGGCGAACATCAGTTAGGATCAACATTATAGGTGTGTCTTATTATCACTCATTGGGCCTACTTCTGATGTAGGAGTACAATCCACTATTTACTAACTTCTAAATATAGCAGCTGCCTAATGTTGTTTTGGAGTTTGAAAGGTTTCTGATCGTTATAGAAATCATTTCTATGACAAATGAGGATTTGGGTTCACACAGTACCCATGTTTTGATTCACCGTTCATTTGTTTGGGCAAGCAATTCAGATGACAAAATTAAACTGGTACAAGACTATTAATCAAGTGCATAGAAATTGTATTATAGCATAAGAAGAAAACAAGAAAGTAACTTTCTTTTAAGTCTTCTTATTGATGAACAGTTAACAACGACCTAGTGCAGAACATGAACACTCAAATCAAAGACATGATAGACACAAACAACCTTCTACTGAGATCAAATATATATAATTAACTCCCCATCATCGATCCAGGCAAAAGAGTTAGCTGTTGTAGCAAGAAAGTGAAGGCCAAATGACTTTTTGCTTTACAAGAAAAAAGAATCATGGTTTAACTGAAACAAAATAAGAGCTAAACGGCACTCATGCAAGAGCTAAATGGTGCTCGTGCAGTACTTACATCTTGTTCAAGAGCTAAACGGCGCTCATGCAAAACTTCCTTTCGTCTTTGCAAACTCTCTTGCAAAACTGCATTCCCTTTTACCTTAAAACAAAAGAATTGCTTGATTTACACATGAATAACAATATATTCGTATACCAAATTCTCAATTGTCATAGTAAAGAAGGTACCTCCTTGGCAATTTTATTTTGTAAGTCATTCTTAGTGTTCTCAAGCCTTTGAATAGCATTCCTGTCAAGAGGATGTTACCAATATTTATGTATAAAAGTGTGACTAACTCAATACAAGAATATAGCACAAACATTTTGATATCGGTAGCCATAGAGGTTTCTAAACCATGACAAAACAAGACTCATTTCCCAACTAAAAAAGGCAAAACTTTATTCCAGGAATAGTTGATACGATTCTTTGGCAACGACTTCCAAGCTAGTGATCAATCAGGCAAGGATCATATTCCGATCCAACTCATTCATAATATGACCAAAAGATGATCAAACACATGTAGTAGGTCATTTCCACCTTAGGTGAAAATCAAATTAGTCAGACAATAGCTCCTAAGATACAAAGTGTAAAACCACGAGCAAGTAATATGGAATTTATAAATTTATATACAACAATTCTTATATGTCATAGAAGCAAACAGAGTACAAGATGCATGTCGCAATATAACTAACCATAACATTTATGATATCTAAAATCAACAACAATTAGTGCAAACTGCGAACATAAGTCAAAACACAGCATGTTGACCAAAAAAGGTCTAAGCAGTAATAAACAAACCCAAAGTCATGCATAACATTGTTTAGGGCCTGCGAGAGTTTCTAGCTAAAACAAGTCCTGCATAATTGATATCCTGATCAAGTACTTATAGAACAAAATTTAGCTACACACTTGGATTACATAAGAAAATGATACACCTCAAACACAAAAAAGTGTCGGTAGAAGAAGAAAAAGAAAACTTAGGTTTTGTTTGGATTGTAGATTTAGTGGGGGTTTTCTCTGAAACCTCAGGATTTCACCCAAACACCATCTTTTCTCCACTTGAAATTGAGCAGGTTAGAAATTCCTGTCAGCAGACTATAAAAATGAGGATTTGGGTTCACACAGTACCCTTAGAACTTGGAAATTAAGGACCATGGAAATACCAGGGTATACATGAAAGATGCATGAAATTTCGCCTCCATCAAACACAAATATGGTTAGAATTTCGAAATCCTAGGTTAATATTTCAAAAATGTTGCAAAACAAAAATGGGAATTTTTGTTGGAATTTGAGTCCCACTTTGAATTTGGGGGAAATACCAGAATTTCAAAAACGCATACCAAATAGGACCTTAAAGATCACATCAATCAAGAAAAGTTACATTAAGTAAATAGATGACATACTCATCTTCGCTTAAGTCAATTGACTCCATGGAAAGGTTCTTTCTTGCCTGGATATTGCAGATATATAAGAAAAAAATTTTGATTTATTATAGGGAAGCAATAATGAAATACAAATATACTCACAGGAGTGCGCCCCCAAATAGCAGGTCGTTTTATGGAGACGACTAGTTTGTTTGGCTTATCTGCACCTTCTCCATCATCTGAAGGCAAAATATGACTTATAAACCTCAGCATGGGACTTGTGGTGAATCACTAAGACACTCATGGGAAAGACCACCATGCAAAGCTATGGCTTTACCACTATCGTGCAGCAAGGTTTCATGTTTCTGTATGCTAGAATCACCAGGAATTTGAATATCAGATTTTTGTGATGACTTTTGATGTTCTTGAAGAGATGCACCACCTCTTTTCTGATTGTCTATGAGCTGAAAATACAAGCAGTATCAGAAAAGACCAAGAAACCAAAGAGATAAAAACTATTTAAAACAATTTGATCAGACCATTTCAACTAACAAGGTATTTATAAGCATTAAAAAAAGGACTTTTCATGTCTTACAAGACCGTAACTGTAGTAATAGTTGTACAACCAAGGAATGCAATTTCATTGTATACCACCCAAGAATTGCTGTACTGATCAGTCGAGACCAACCAACCAGGTGCATATATGTAACATATTACTTTTTCTCCTTTTTACCATAACAATTGGGTACGAAAGCATATACGTATACTGGCCCATACATGTCTTTTAATTTACTCCTTCCATTCAAACATTACATAACCCAGATAAATGTAAAATGAAGTAAATTCTTCAAGAAAATAACTAAGTGAAAACATAGGAACTATAACCTCATTATCATACGGATCATTTCCAATGTTGCTGTGGCTTTCACTATTTGTTTCACTGCATGAATTTTCAGAATCATCATCTATATCAGCTTCAAGGCCATTATGCTCATCACCATATCCATCATCTTCTGGAATGTCATTATCCGAATAATCATCGTTGCTGTTATGCTCATCATGATATCCATCATCTTCAGTAATGTCATTATCAGTCAAGTCATCATTGCTGTCATGCTCATCATGATCTTCTGGAATGTCATTATCAGTTGAAACATCATCTTCAAGATCACCTTCAGAATCAGAATAAGGATCTGATGATGCTGAGCCCTCATGCAAGAGATCCTCCTAACAAATATTTATTAGTTCAGCAAGATCGGATAAACTAACAAATAAATTCAATCAATTTTCATTAGAATGAAAAGAAACATTACATCAAACATTTTGTCAAACTCCTCTAACAGAATTATGACTATAGCTTGAGCATGATTGGCAGCTGCAGCAGCTTTTAGAAGTTGAATAGAACCATCTCCACCCATATTAAAGTCATCTTCAAATTCACAATCTCCAGCAAGAAGAGGACGGAGAAGTAATGGGGCCATGCAAGCTGCTAAAGCCGATAGTGACATCCGGTTCTGGGACTTGTGGGAAGCCACTGTTTGCATCATCTTGAGAATCCTGGAAAAAGAAATCAGGGTGAAAAATCTTATTAATAAATAATATATCCCAAAACATACATCCAAATATGATGATCAATCTCAAACTTGCTAAATATCACATAAGTTGAAAAGTTACTACTATAGGTAAACAAGAAAAGGAAAGCAAGTCCCATGACAAAGAGGCCAACAGAATATTACATAATAAGTATTCTAGTATGTAAAACCATAAGATAGGGATTCTATATCTTGGTTCAACAACTATATTATTATTATGAACTGCAGCAACTCCACAAATTTAAGGATTAAAAGTTGCATGTACAAAAATTCACGAGTCTTGTTTACATGATACTTGAAAGTTGAAATTTGGAACACTTAATAGGAAAGGTATAAATTCTGGTAAAAGAGATCCCAAGAGTAGAGTTAAGCTGTGTTTTGAAAACTACAGAACAAGGTTTATTTCAGATAAAATTTGCAATCATTGACGTCACCTACTTGCAGAAAAATGTCTTGATAATATTGAATTACTTTGGCATAGATTTCTTGAACTTGAACCTTTTTATCTAACACGAGTTTGTCTAATACTTCACTTAACCCTAGTATGTCCATCTTTGGCAAATTAAAGGCAGATCTGGGACCCTAAACAAAATGACTATATTTTGCTGCACTCTAGACTTGTGGGAAAGATATAAAGATATCTCTGGGAAAAAAAAAAACCAGAGTGCATTAGACTATAGTTTCTAAAATATCAAGCTTAAATTCAATCTTGATATGCAAAATGTTTTTTTTTTGTTGGACTCCTTTCTAATGATTTGGTTCATAAAGATGATACTGGTCCTTACCGTTAACCAGAAAGGAGGAGCAGAAGGTAGTAGTGGAGGCAAAGGAGGAGGATGCAGCAAAAATGCTAAGAGGAGCAACGTGAGGAGGTGACAACGGTGATACGGGAAGATGAAGAGGTCGTAGTGATGCGAGGAGGAGGTGGGGGCAAAGATAGAGAGGTGGCAATGGTGAAAGTGGAAACAGAGGAGAGAGACGAGGAAGAAGCTTCAAAGAGAGAAAGGAGGAGAAGCTGAGACAGAGAGAGGGAGAAGGAGAAGCTCCAAGAGAGAGAGAGGATGGCAAGCTACCTCTCAACTGCAGTTGATAGTTGACGATAAAAGAAGAGGGGAGAGGGTCAAATTATTTTAGAAAAGTTACAAATAAAAAGGAAACTGGATTGCTGCCCAGTACACCTGTGTGTATGGGTCATATTTTAGCTGGACCACCAGGCGTGGTAAGTGTACTGGGCTGTAAGCACTATTCTAAGCTGGACCAGGCATCATGGTAAAGCTTTCCAAGTTGGACTGAACAAAATTGCCGGGTTTGCTAACCTGTCATGGCTCAGATCATTAAAACCAACCCATACCAACTAGTATTTTTGCTCAAGCTACACGCCATTTCTAACATTTTTTGGTACATATTAAATATCCAGAAGTTGGCATTAGATGTTGACAAATAATCAGGATTAGGAAAAGTGGAAGACTAAGTGATGAAACATCCATAAAAAATGATTTAAGCTTAAGTATATAACAAGTTGGAAACTAATAATCACGAATCAATCAGTGATCAGCCAAAAGCAATAATATGAAGCAAGAAGAATATACTGACATTATAAAGATCACCAATCGGCCTGAGAATCTATGGACAGAGCAAGCACATTACATGAACAGAAAAGACAAAACATGGAGAGCAACTCATTAAAAGAATGTGGAAGATGTAAAAGATAGTGAATGAAAGTCACAGAAAAAAAAGAACAATCCAAATACACATCTGAGGAGGCTTTTAAGATTTGTCACTAAATTTTTATCAATAAACTCACAAAACTTTCGAAACTAGAAATAGCATCGATAGGGCACGGTTACACCAGAGTGGAAACATTTGGAAAGATCATCTATCGTAGACTAATAATATGTTAAACCTTTTTCTGGCATAGAAGGAACTTCACCTAAATTCATAGCGAAGGTTATTAACCTTGAATCCCCTGATAGACAACTTAACATCCAGGCAATTATTACCCAATACCTACCATCAACTTTATTACCCAAGACTTACCATCAATATTCAGATTTCAGAAGATCCAGAACATGCAAAAGGTAACAAGTTGTACGGGCAGAAATATGTTGTGGGGGAAGCAAAGAGAATGAGAAAAGGTATGGTTATGACAATTATTTTTTTCAAAAAGGAAGCTGTTGGTTCAAGAAAGTAATGATATCACCTAGAACAAAGCAATTATTGGCACATAGAAACAAAACCATAAACACCTAGGTGTAACTAATATACCTCTGCATCAAACGAAGACTAGGCTCCGGGAAAGTTTTATATATGGCAGAGCGGATAGCATTAACTCTTCTTCCACGATCAGTTCCTTGAAAATATCAAATTCAAAGTTAATGTTACATGATTTTGCATTATAACAAAAAGAATTTTGATAATTAATCTGAATATTAAATATAATTATCTGGGTCTTTTAGATCTTATATTTGGTGAAAGAAGTTAGGTAATTCATGTGCCATAGCATTCGTTTAAGTACAAGAAGAAAATTGTCAAAACCATGGAAGTTCAAAGTTCAAACCAAGTACAAACAACTACAATGTCATCCTTTCAACTTACATTTAACAGGCATTTTCCCACATGTTTTAAACATGACCATGGACTGGAAGAACACTATGTCAACTAGTAAAGGACAACATGTCCGGTGCAATTTGTATTCCATATATCTTGGTTCTTATACTTTAGGAATGTTGAACAAGCCAACAAGGTACCACATGCACTTAGCCAAGGATCAAAAATCAACCACCCCAACTTTTATAGTGTAGTTTTTACCAGTCCAACCATCGATTGGTATGCAGATGGACAATTTTATCAAGTCTGGTCAAGAACTGAGCTTAATACCTGGTACGCTTCCTGCGCCAGGATTATTGGGCACCGAGCTGACCCATCCAGCCACATAGAATGGTGATCAAACATTGGGTATCAATACACTTTGGTTGGGCTTAGCTCATTAAAATAAATGAATCTTGCTTATGGGTGATTTAGTGCTGTGTCAAACCAGCCGAAGCCAAGTCAAATACTTACACAAATTCAGTAAAATAGATGTAGTACACATTAGATGAAGGTATGCTACGTGCAAGGATTAAAATCTTGGTTTGGTACCAATACTGCTTAACGACTACATTAGCATAGCACCAATATCATTATAACATAGTAGTGTTTGTATTCACTGGTACTGATAGGACCAGTACAAGCAAAGAGAGAGAGAGAGAGGGAGAGATAGATATATATGAATTTGCTGTGGTTTCTAACTTTCTATAGTTAGAAGTTAAAAACCCTGAGGTTCCGTTCACTAATGCCAATATATTCCCTCTCCTATTCTCTGAAAATATTGCCCCTCTTTTGCCTTTTTTTGTCAATTAAACCCTTGTCACCACTCACCATTACCTCTAATCATCTCCTTTTAGGCCCTCTTTTCATCCCACCCTCTCTGCTCTAGATAGGGCTTCCAAGATAGTTAGTTCTTGTAAATAGATCGAAGTTGAACCTTTTTATGTATAGGCTTGTTTTATTTGAGATACCACAGTTTTTATCAAGCTAAAGCCAATCACAAGGAACCGCATGTTAATTTGTATCAAACAAAAACAAGGGCTCATTCATTTGTAATTGGGTCATTTACACACCAAGAAGCATGGTACAATGGTGGCTCCATGCAATACATGCCACTTGGACAATTTATGTGGTATTTTGCTACTTTGAATTGGGCTCACTCTTCTGCACATTAGTGATGATAGAATCACAATAGCAGCAAAAATCAATTCTCATAGACAGCTCAATGTGCCCATTGGCCAGTTAGGTATAATGGGTATTTGAACCTGTGGCTCAAAAAAGCTAGCCCAAGTGGCTAGTAGTAAGTCCAACAAGCTCTGTTTACTATCATCACCCAACATTAACTTCTAGTGGAATTCATTGGGACGACAAGTTTGTCTAGTATTCCTATATTTCATTCTTCTTCTATACATACATTTGACAATTGTAAATCAAACCCAAAATAAGACACAACAAAGCAACACAAAAAAGTAACAAGTTACACAACCGATTTTTTTGGGGTTGGTTACTCATCACTAATCAAACTAAGGGATCTATCAAATTCTTATTATTGGTTCTAATAAAAATATGTCATGTCTTCAAGTAACTCTTCTGATGCCAATAATTGAAATTGGCTCAACTCATCTACCCATAAATGCATAATGCATTAAAAAGACTCTATTCCAGTTTCCAAACATGCATATCTGGAATGCATTTTAATACAAAAAAAAGTTGTAAGCTTTAGATAAAGGAACATCTAAAATAAGATGTCTATGACAATATGAAATAAGAGTTCTGCCCAAACATACTGTATGCTTCAACCAGTGCAGTACAACAAGAAGCAGGAACTGGAGAAGCTGACATCTCTCGCAGCACATACTGCAAGTAAAAAGAAATTAATTGCACTAGCATAATTCACAGAAAAATGTCAGGTTGATAGTTCTAGTGGCATTGTACCTTGATACAGTCACCAACAACGTGTGCATCCTCATCTGGTGAAAATTCAACTTTTCCTGAAAAAGAGGTGTGTATAAAGTCCTTAAATAAAGGTATTAACCATAACTAAAACCAAAAGTTATTTGCTTGGAACATTATTCATACTCACATGTCATACTGCTTGCGAATATCAAAAGCAATGAAGCAGATAAAGAGGATAAATTTTGAATAGGTTCCAAATAAATGTTACTAGTGTATTCAGAACAAGTAAAAGATATACCCTACAAAGGCAAACTTACCCTGTTCATATTCTCGAACTCTGCGTTTTACCTCTTCAACATCGGCAGACTGCCGCAATATTCCTTCCACCTTGATACCTTTTGAAGAGACACAGACAAACACATAAATAAAGACATTTAAGCCAAAGATTAACAGTTGGATTTCGAGCAGTTCAATTATACTAGAAAAAGTATACAGAACATAATTTCTTTTGACTTTTATATATTTTAGCACACTAAAAAGTGGAACTAAAAATGTAGCCATACATTTGCCTTAAGAGAGAGAGAAAGAGAGAGAGAGAGAGAGAGAGAGAGAGAGAGAGAGAGAGATTTGCTGTATAATAACATCAGCAATATGTTTGGACAAGCCTTACACATGCAATTAAGCAACTTTCTAAAGATCCAACTATATAAAGCAAAATAAAACTGATCTGAACATGACAATAAAACACTTCATTAAAACATGAAGTGCACATTTTTTTAACAAAAAAGATCAGAATGTTTTGTCAAAGATAGCATGCGAAACAGAAATTACCATGTTGTTCGATAAACCTTAGGGCCTTCTCCAAAAAAGATGGGCTTCCATCAATATCTTCAAGCGCAAGCAGGATAGGCATGCCAACTATGGTAGATTTCTCAGGTTCCCTATCCCCACCTTCAAAAAAAGTAGAAAAAAAGAAAAGCAGAAACCGCTCAGTCATAGGATTAAAATAACAGAGGACCAGGAAGTTGTACATATCTTCAAGAATAGCCAAACAGAAAATTTGTATGAAAGTTATTGAATATTTCTGCAATATATGAGAGAGATAGAGATCATGGAAAGAGCAGTTTGTTTTAGCATATTTCTGCAATTAATTAAAGTGAATTAGAGATAATTTGGAGGTTGGAGTAGAGAGATATCAGATACAAGAGATATTTCAGAGAGGGAGTAGATAGAGAACTTGGATGAATGAGAAATAAAAGAAAGACTTTGGGTCTGTGGAGAGATGAGAAAAAATGTCAAACCTCTCTAAGGACCATTTCAGGAAAAATAATATTGTAAAAGATCTAACGAAGAGAGAGATAGAATAAAAAAGATTTAAGTGAAATACTTAAAATCAAAATAAGATCATATTAGATCGATAATACTAAATTCTGTGAAATCAGAGAAGAAACTAGCCCCAGTTTGATCATGATATGGATCAACAGTGCAAATATTTCCTATAACTTTTAGAAGCATTTCCATCAATTTTAAAACAGTGAAAAAGCATCTAGAAATTTATGTTTATAAACAAACATATATCAAGACACTACTCTGAATGAACTGACTTATATGTCGCACAACTTGAGTCAGATACTGCTCAGCTTGATGGCTCAGAGACAAACAGAACTCCAGAACAATTAGAAAACAATAAGATACCATGAGTTACCAAGTAATGTGATGCATCTTTAATAGTTAAATACAAAAAATTGCAGAAAAGTTAATGACAATAATGTTCCCGAAGCAAATATATTTAAAATGGCATACATTTATCATTTGAAGTTTCAACTGAATCAGTTACATCATTGTTGAATATTCCATTCTGTCCCATTGCAAGAACTGCACTAGGTGCTTGAGCTAAAGCATTCTCTAATGCAGCTTTCCATTCATACAGATCCTCGGAAGTTTCTGCCTGTAATACCAAAGAAAGTTGAAGGGGAAGAAAAGAACTGAACAAAGCTAACAAAGTACAGGAGCAACATATTTGCATGCCTTTAAGGTAAAAGTTCGTCCATCACGGCCATCAGGAAAGAGCACTGTCAGAAGCTTTTTGTCTGCTTTCACCACAACACTGTATTTTATGATGGATCAAAGTCATAATCAAGTTATAATACAATCAACATTTAGCTAGATTAGGACTTCAATAATACATCAAATATTCCCACCTTCCTGAGCTATTCAAGTCAATACCACCAAGGGTAGGATTTGCTTCACTTCCTTTTTCAGGGAGGGTAGCCTGAAAAGTAAAAGTGATACGTGCCACAATTTACCACAATCTTCATATAGAGGAATCAACTATATTTTTGATTCTTATAAGATGGAATAACTGTTGAAATTCTCAATATAATTTACCACAATTTTTAATGATAGATTTAATGAAGAAAGGATAATTACATATGTGTTTCTTGAGATCTTCATGCTGGATTAGTGGAATGTAAGAGTTTAACATCTTAGAGTAATTTCACGAAAAGAAAATTTGCATACACTTCTAACCTGTTTGGCAACAAAGAATGAAAAACTAGTTCTTTTAAGAGGGATAAATCATATATGCCATTTAAGCTTTTTTTTAAACCAATTAGTTCAGTTTCACTTACAGAAAATACCATACAATTTTTCATCTTATGTTAGATCGACTATTAGTATATAGTAGGATCAAAAGTTCCAATTCTGGTGATATGCCAATTGAGCAAAAAAATGTTGGTCGAGAATCATATAAACCAGATGCAAAGTCAACTCTTTTGTACTGTTATAACTTTGGTGGACCCCACCATTAAATATAGTATAAATCTGTAATAACATTACATACTAATAACTAAAATAACTTATTGTTATTAGCAAACTCTCATTTCAGGGGAATGTTTATCCTAGGTTAATAAAAGAGCAACTGCACGTTTAGAGTAACTTATAATGATAGTTGCAGCAACTAGTAAGCTTTTTTTAATAGGAATATTTGTCCTATTTTAAGTTAATATGAGAAGCAAGTGCTGAGGTTTAGAGTAGGTAATCGAATATAAACTAATGAATATCAGGCAGTACAGCTATTTAGAATTTGTTGAAGTGGTTATCATCTAAATAAGTCAACGTAGAAAATAAACTATTCATACACGTAAAACAACCCAGATACGTGGACAGGCATATAGATACTAAAGGTAGGCAATAGGTACTAAAAGAATCATAAAAGTAGGCGATAGAAACTAAAGGTAAGACAAATATGAGATATCATATATAATATACTTACAGGGTCAGTTCTATAAAAGACCAATGATGTACGTGTAAGGACAAACCAACGTTTCTTCCATGATGTCCAACCTATTCCTGTGATTTTTGATGATTTGAAAAGATGAATCATACTAAAAATTGAAAACATTTTTAAATTAACAAAAAGTATCAACGGCGACCAGTTATATTTAGAATATCCTAAAACCATGACACATGAGGATTGTAATTAATGATAACAGGGAAATAGAAATGAGCATAGAAAATGAAAACTTAGATTTTAATAAAGAGCATAACTAAACAATTAAAATAAGAAATTTAATTGCACATGGTAGGACTCCTATGAATGCACATGGTCATGTTTAGAAACTGAACTTCTCTGTAGAAGAATCTCCCAGCAGGATACATTTCATAGTTCATACTTCATATATCAAAAAATTATGTTAAAAACAAATGAAAGAGATTGCATGTCATTCTTGTAAATAGTTGCCTGCTTATTCTTTCATTTTTAGAGTTGAAACTTACAAATTCCATATATTGGCAACTTCTTTAACAAACAAATAACCAATCACCTGCTATCCAACATAACTTTTAATCCAATGTCTAATTAAAGCATAAAAAAGGAGTGTCCATACCGGTGCAAGTTTAGTGCCCAGATGAAGCATAGAAAGGAGTGCCCATGCATGGCAGTGTCTCCTTGTGCTTTGCTTATGAAACAAGCACTAGCATAGACCAACAAATAGCAGACCAAACAGTCCTCCCAAGATAACCTAGATCCTTCCAAGCTAGAAAGTAGTGGACCACTGCATCAAGCAACTGTATCTTGACCAAATTGACTAATGACCATATAATGTGTTCCAACAGAACCATACTACCTCTTCCAGTCCATTAATGGTCAAGTTCCTGATATTGAAGCTAGAGTTGGAACCATATTACACTTGAACTGTTAACACCAATCTGGTGAAGGAGCTGCTAAAATGCAACAAATTATAAAGACCTTATTTTCAGAAAAGAAAATATATATGGAGACATTTTATAGGACTTGAGCAAGAGAGGCACCAAGAATTAAAACATCGATTAGATCAGGCTGTACCAACCAGTATTTACCGGTTCGGACAGATTCCAGGCATGTTAATTGAACAATGTCACACAATCCAATTTGAAACCCGGCAAGCTAACTGAAACACCAATCTGGTGAAGGAGCTGATAAAATGCAACAAATTATAAATACCTTATTTTCAGAATATATATATATATATATATATATATATATATAT